TTTTGGTTTTTCTTAAGGTAGCAGGACAAGTAGATGAAATGTTTATGGTGGCATATGGGATAGTTACCTTTATTGGCCAAGTTTCAAAGCAGGGAAGTGCTGGAGCTGTATAAACATTGACCAGGCCACAGCTAGCGTACTGTGGCAGCTCCGGACTCCAAATCATATAGAGGGATGCGATTGCACTGGAGAGGGTGCAGAGGAAATTTGCCAGGATGTTGTCTGGGCTGTAGAGTTTTAGTTACGAAGAAAGTTTGGATAGACTGTAGTTTTCCTTGGAGCAGAGGAGACGGAGGTATTTGTGGGGTGGGGTGTGGTATGAGATTGAGATGTATATATTCAATGATTACGGCGCAGAGATTTAAAGGTAAGGGCAGAGGTTTAGAGGGACGTGAGGAAAAATGTTTTCACTCAGAGGGTGATAGGAATCTGGAACTCACTTCCTGTAAGGGTGGTAGAGGCAGCAACCCTCATACCATTTGATAAGTATCTTGTGACATGAGGCAATGAGCCAAGTGCTGGAAAATGGGATTGCAATAGTTAGGTGTTTGTGACCGGCAAAGATGCAATGGGACAAGGGACCCTTTTCTATGCTGTAGACCTCAATGAATATCTCAATTTCTTCTTAATTTTGTACAAATATTCAAGGTAAGAAACATTTGAAACATTTTCAGTCCATCAAATCTGCTACAACATTCAATGAGATCATGGTTGATCTGAATCATCAACTCCACTTTCCTGCCTTTTACTCGTAACCTTCAATTTCCTTACTGATTAAAAATCTGACTGTCCATTTAAGTCTTGAATATACTTAATGAACCAGTCTCTATAGCCCTCTGTGCTGAAGAATTCCGCAAGTTCACTACGCTCAGAGAAGAAATTCCTTCTCATCTGTCTTAAATGTGACCCCTTACTCTGAGATTATCACCGCCAGAGGAAATGAAGTAGAACAGGTAGGACAGCAATTTGGTGATACTGGAATAGTCTGCATGGATTTTACCAAGGCTTTTGGAAGGTGTCAAATGGTAGATCGATCATAAAATTAAGAGACCATGGGATCCCAGGGCCAAATGGATTCAAAATTGATTCAGTGGCATGAAGTAAAGAATATTTATCAACAGCTGCTCTTTGTGTGATTGGGAGATTGTAAAATTCCCCAAGGCTCAGTATTAGATCCCTTGTTTTTTGTGGTAATACAGAGCAATGATTTAGACTTATAGTAGGAGTGTGATTAAGAAGTATTAAGAAGTTTAAAGATCATACAAAAATTGGTTGTGTGTTTGATATTGGAGGAGAAAGCTGATAAGCAGCAAGAGATCAATGGACTAGTCAGGTAGGCTGAAATGTGGCCAATGGAATTCAGTCAGGAGACATGTGAAGTCACATATTTAGGAACCGTTAACAAAGCAAGAGAATACAAAATAAATGGTAGGATATTGAGCTATCTAAAGGAACAGAAGGATCTTGGAGCATATATGCATGGTTCCCTTAAGTTAGCAGGACAGGTACATAAAGTGGTCAAGGAGACAAACGAGATATTTTCTTTTATTGCCCAAGGCCTAGAGCATAAGAACAGGTAGGTTATGCTAGATCTATGTAAAGCACTAGTTAGGCCACAGCTAGCGTACTGTATACAGTTTGTTCACCATTAAGAAGGATGTGATTGCACGAGAGAGGTTTACAAGGATGTTGCCAAGAATGCAGAATTTTAACTGTAAAATCACATTGACTGTGCCTGTTTTCTTTAGAACAGAAAAGGCTCAAGAGAGATTTAAGTGAAGTGAAAAACCATGACAGGTCTAAATATAGTGGATAGGTAGGAGGCTGAAGAGCCTCTTCTGTGCTGTATAATTCTAGGAATCATTTCCTTCACTTAAAGATCAGTAACCATATAAGCGTTTCCAAACCAAAGTAACTACAGAAAGGTAGAAGGTGTTTGTGTGTCTGGAACTCACCTGCAGGGGCGTTAAAGACAGAAGCACTCAATGCATTTAAAAAAATGTTGGCTATGCACCTGGAATGCTGTAATCTATAGGGCTGTGCACTGAGAGTGGAAAGTGGGATTAGACTGTATGATTCTTTTGCTTTGGCTGATATGAACACAATAGGTCAAACGGCATCTTACGGCACAAATTTTCTACATTTCAATTTTAATAATTTTTCTGTTAACCAGAACATACCTCTTTGTCGGTTATTGGATAATCTTTGTTTTCGGTGAGACCTTCTTCCTGTGACAAAGACATAATCTTGTCTTTCTCATCAATTAATAAAGTTTCAGTTCCTGATGGCAATTGAGTCAATGAAGAAACAAATATCTTTTCGTAGTGGGTTATGAATAGCTCCACCATTTGAGCCTGATATGGATAATCAACAAGAGAAGATAATGATGCAGTGGCATCAGTTTGCCTTGGTCGTATAAGAGTAGGCCCAAAAATAATTCCCAGATTGCTCGCTGACATTTTATTTTCTTCTTCTTTCTCTGCCACCCTGTTGAGCAAAAATGCAAATGCACATTGTATACCATGTTAGAGGCCACTTATCCATTCTATGGTTAACAAACAAAACACATTACTTTTGTTAACTTAATTTACAAACTATCCCTAGTAAGCCACAGAATTGTCTTAGCTATTCTTGATTTTTTTTGTAACAGGTGGGAGATTGAGGATGATTTAAAAAGCAAACAAACAAACAAACAAAGAGTCAGCCAGCCAGCTTAATTTATTCATTTAGGAAATTTGGCCTTGAAGTGGCACTGGTGAGTTGGCTTCTTGAACCAGCACCATCCATTTGGTGTAGGTACACTCATGTTGTTTGGGAGATTAAGGATTTTGACCCAGTGGCACTGAAGGAATGTCACTGTATTTCCAAGTCAGAATGATGAGTGACTTGGAAGTGAAAATGCAGGTGGTCATGTTCCTATGCATCTGTTGCCTTTAACCTTCTAGGTGGTAGTGATTGTGGATTTGGAAAGTGTTGTCTAACAAGCCTTGGTGAATTTCTGCAGTGCAACTTGTGGATGGGCGCACATTGCTGCTGCTATGCAGCAGCGGAGGGAGTGAATGTTTGTAGATGTGGTGCTAACCCAATGGGCTGCTTTCCATGAGATGGTTAAACTTATAGGAAGTTGCTGCAGCTGCACTCACCCAGACAGTGGGACATATTTCATCACACTCCTGAATGACATTTTATAAATCATGGATAGGCTTCAGGGAGTCTGGTGACAAGTTACTTGCTGTAGGATTCCTAGCCTCTGACCTGCTCTTACAGCCATAGTTTTTACATGGCTGGCCCAGTTCAGTGTCTGGCCAACAGTAACTCCAGTTTGCTGACAATGGGGGATACAGCAATGGTGTGTCATTGAATGTCAAGGAGTTGATGGTCAGACTCTCTCTCTTGTTGGAGATGGTCACTTCTGACCTGATACACAAGTAACCTAATTCCTATAACTTCAAGATAAACCCACAGTTTTTTTCAATTAAATATTCTTTATTCACTGTATGCTGTGCCAACTAAGGAAGTATACAGAGGTTCTTTTTGGTTGAAGAAAATCTTATTCTTAGTGACTGTTATACTGTGTGTGCCTAAAGTTGGACAAAGAGGTTGTATTCAGCTTCAAGAATGCCCCTAAATTCAGCCTGAAAAATTACCTGCCTGACGAACTGTGGAAACAGTGGATGCAAACTACCAGCTGCTTGGCCACATTGTGTGGAAATGGCAGTCAGCTGTAGTTAAACATGCAACATTATGTTGACAATATTTGAAGATATTATGTAAAAATAAAGACTTTGGCTTGTATTTAAATAGTGAAAAGATTGCAGTTCCAACAAACATGAAGCAGAAGATAGAAATGAAGGCATAATAAATGCCATGTAGATGAAGCCCAGAATATCAAGAAAAACTAATTGGGAGCATTTTTAATTTCACATACCCAGTTGATTGAACACAACAGCTTCTAATGCAGCCTTGGCTGACAGAAAAATAATCAAGCAGGGTCTCCAGAGTCAAGTAGTTAAAAATCAAATCACTGAAGTAAACACTACATGACAATAGAATCTGAAATAGATTGAAGTTAGCAGTTCTGTTCAGATACTGCAGTATCATAGAATTGTTTGGGTGCAGAAGGAAGCCATTCAGCCAGTTCTCTGAGCATTTTAACTTTATGTCAATCTCCTGCCTTTTCCCAGTGACTCTGCACATTATATCTGGTTGCATCTTTAGGAAGAGGTCATCCGAAATCTTCGAAGAAGACCCTCCAAGCAAAAAAAAAATGGCAATGAAATTATCCCCCAGATCTGCAGTAATGAGATAATCACTAATTATGAATCAGTTGCACAACAACTGAAATATCCCATAAAACTGAAAAATATACAGTAGGTATTAGGGAATTCTTCCAAGATAACAAGTAATTAAGTGTTCAAGTGATTTTTGGAAGTAAAGCTGCATGGTAACACAATTGTGCATGAATGCTAAGCTCAGTGGAATTGAAAAATCAATATCTAGCTCCCTCATTTTAAACTTAACCTGCAATGTATTCACAGTTGGATAGATACATGTAGATTTAAGTCTCACGCTTATTTTCTGATTGGCACTATTTTTAGCAAGAGAGATCATCTCCATGCTCTGAGAGAAATCATAGCCTTGCTTACAGCTGATTACAGAGCTCAAAAGAAAAGTGGGATTTGATTATACACCTATCATTTAAAAGCATGATTTTAAGTCAGTTCATTGAATGAAAAATTGAAGAGGATGGGAAAAACAGTACTGTTCAAAAGGTCTCAGTTATTTCAGTTGTTAAATGCACAAATATATATATTCTTCCATACCTGCAAAGATGGTTCATGAGGTACTGCAAAGTGTTGTAGTTGGCTTGAGGCAACTGACAGAGTAGATCCTTGACCTTAAGAAGGATTTTCTTCATTCCTATGTTGGTTGACCCTTTTTTGTGTGCATTCAGAATGATTGGTTTTCCATCATTCTCATCACTAATATTATGGCTTTCCTTGGCCAAGCCAACAAATTCATTGTAAAGACGGAATGGTATCAAAGGCTCTGGGAGCTATTGGATAATAATAAGTGATTACATTCGGATTATAAAAGGATTCGTTTTTAAATGATTGCTTTGAAGAGAGTTTTGTATGGTACATGGGTTTACCTGGCGGAGGAACAGTTTTAGCACATTGCTGATATCATGAGCATACAAATCTGAAAGTTCCACTAAATCCTTTCCATTTTCAAAAGCTTGACACAACTTTTCAACTCGTGATTTTGCTCCATTCACTCGATAAATACCCTTGAACAGATAACAAACTTAAGTGAATTAACATTTTCATTAATTTCACATACATAGGAAGTGAAACTGAACTAGAATATGGGCACTACATTACTAATGCAAAATATTAGAAAATAATCTTAAGTAATACAGTCATACAGTACGGAAACAGACCCTTCAGTCCAACTCATCTGCACCGACCAAACATCCCAAATGTGGCCTAGTCCCATTTGGCTAAACGCTTCCTATTCATATATCCATCCAGGTGCAGCATGATGGCTCAGTGGTTAGCACTGTTGCTTCACAGTGCCAGGGACCCGGGTTTGATTCCAGCCACGGTCAACTATCTGTATGGAGTCTGCACATTCTCTCAGAGTTTGCTTGGGTTCCCTCCAGGTGCTCCAGTTTTTCCCCACAGTCCAAAGATGTGCAGGTTAGGCAGATTAGCCATGGGAAATGTATGGTTACAGGGATAGGTTGGGGGGGTGGGTCTGGGTGGGATGTTCTTTGGATGGTCGTTGTGAACTTGATGGATTGAAAGGCCTGCTTCCGCACTGTAGGGATATAAAGATAAAAGGCACAGCTAAATATTGTAATTGAACTTGCCTCCACCTCGGTCCAGACACGTACCACCTCTATGTGAAAAAGTTATGCCTCAGGTCCTTTTCAAATTTTTCCCCTCTCACCTTAAACCTTTGTCCTCTAGTTTTGGACTCCATCACCCTAGGAGAGAGACCTTGGCTATTCACCGTATTCATGCCCCTCATAATTTTATAAACCTCTATGAGGTCACCCCTCAGTCTTTGATGCTACAGCAAGAAACACCCCAGCCTATTCAGCCTCTCCCTATTGCTCAAACCCTCCTGTCCCAGCAACATCTTTGTAAATCTTTTCCTCACCCTATTAAGTTTAAAAACATCCTTCCTAAAGAAGGGCGACCAGAATTATATGCAGGATTCCAAAAACGTCCTCACCAATGTCCCATGTAGCCGCAACATGACAACTCAACTCCTATGCTCAATGTTATGACCAATGAAGGCAAGCATGCTGAATTCCTTCTTCACCATCCTGTCTACTTCAGACTCCACTTTCAAGGAACTTTGCACCTGCATCCCTTGGTCCCTCTGTTTGGCAACACTCCCCAGGACCCCACCAATAAGTATACAAGTCCTGGCCTGGTTTACATTATCAAAATGCAACACCTCACATTTATCTAAATTAAACTCAAACTGCTACTCCTCGGCCCATTGGATCAAGGTTCCCTTACACTTTGACATTCTATTACACCACCTACTTTGGTGTTACCTGCAAACCTTACTAACGATACCCCTATATTCACATCCAAATAACTTATATATAGGGGAAAATTAGATCATGGTTGTGATACTAAAGATTTAGGCAGGTTTACATATAAATTGGATAAGTACAACATTTTATTAAATAATATATACATTTTCAACAAGTAGTACTTCATCAGATACTACTGTTCATTAGTACAACAGACATCAGCATTATTACAATCCTGCTGTCTCACAGTACTTTTAGCAAACCAGATGTGAGCGATCAGCTCTGCCATGGAAATTTGTTAGTGTAATTCAATACAAAGGATTATTTGTAGATTAGAAAAGAGGTATCAAGAAAGCTGATCAGAGCAGTAAAAACATATTAGTTCATTAGTATGCGAAGAAGGGAACTCAACACATTTGACATAATACAATACTAAATGGAAAGAGCAATCACTCTGATAATTCATCAGCTGAACAGGTCTGTAAAGGATATAATATTACAACTCCTGAAAGAGAAATTTTGCCAAAGCTTGACATCTTTTTCGGCTATGTAAACTGTTGCAAGGGTTTATACTGTGATTTATTGTATTTGTCCTGATGAGTGGAACATGAAATGGTGCTGAATGGCTGGCAAGTCAACTCAGAATGATTGAGACATTGTCATGGAGAAAGTGAAAGGGGCTGTAGGTTCCCCACTCTTCCAGGTAATAAACAAAGGCACCAGGCTTAAATATATTTCTTTTACTTAGACAGAATGGTTGCCTGTTTGTGAATGTATGTCATTTCTAGCAATCTTAGTGAGCCACATTACAGACTTGACTGATCACCTGAAATTGTTTGGTGGTGTAGCTATTAGTGCATTCAGTACAATCATAGATCACATCTAACAGAGGATGATGTGTTTTTGGTTTTGCAAGTATTAGTTGGTTGAATAAGGTCTGTATTCTGCTCATTATTCAATCAGCTACTTGTTGGGATATTGCAGTCCATGTATCTGGTATCATTTCGGCAACTAAATTCATGGACAAAATTCCTCAATTGCTTAGGAGGTCAAAATCTGTACAGATTTATGGCTGCATTCTATTAATTGAAAATAACACTTTTATCACCAATGCATACAAGTAGCATGAAACTGCTTGCTTACCCAGTGGTTCACATTTGAGATAATTTGCCTTTCCAAGATAATTTGAAGTAGACCAGACACCTTTTCTTGTTGTGAAAGTGGCAGCCTTTGGCCCATTTACAAGTTTCCTTAATACACAGCAAATAATATGGATGAGGACAGCCATTGTCCTCCAGGATAACTTTGATGCGCTCTATTTCTGCAGACAGCTGGTAAGGTGAACAAATAACCAAGGCCCTATTTATAAGGTTTTTAATATGCCAATTCTTACAGCGCATGAAGCTGCGTGAATCCTAATCCATATTCTGACCTACCATGGCAGGCTTACATTGACAATAGGGGAAATGGATAATAAATGTGACCTTACTAGTGACACACATACCTGTGAATAAACTAATACAATATCGGAGAATTCTGACAGCAATCTTGAGATATAGTATATCCACGCAATGGGAAAACAATGTAAAGTGACAACAAATTAATATAACATGAGCAATTGATGCACTATGTGCAACAAACAGAAGTTATGCTGGTAATAGCTAAGTACATATAGTATTAAAAATGGTTAAGATTCTACACCATTATAAAAATGAATATTATTTTTAATAAAATGTAATTTATGATGTATAGTCAGTAGATACTGAAATAGCATACACTTTTAATGAACAGTAATTTTTAATGAAAACAATTAAACTAAAACATTTGACTGAATTTAAAAAAGGCTTTTATCAAAATAAAAATACAAACACTTTCAACTGCAATAATCTGCGCATCCAGAAGATACGCTACTGAACAAATACAACTGCACGCGCAGCACATATTTTTAGTAAATTATAAGCTTACCTTTACATTTAAAGCTCTGCTTTCAATCTCAGACGTACATTTTTTGATAATGAAGGGAATTCCATCAGAACTATTTTTTACAGTTTGATTGAAATCCACCCCGAACAAGTGCAGTCGTCCTTGAAGTTTCTTGTGGCCACACTGTATGGCCAGAGTCTCAAGGCATTTTTTGTGGCATGCCAAAGTACACTGTCAAATGAAATGAAATGCAATTATCAGCTCAGAATGTTAATATCAATTCAAGATTGATACAAAGACTTGAGCACATAGTAAACAAGAGACAGTGCAATCTGTGAACAATTGGCCAGATCAGCAAGTAATTTGTAAAAGGTATCTCCAAAACTACTTATGTTAGTATTTTCTGTGATATTTCGTGCAGGTACTGAATTATCTACCCTGCCACACAAGACCGGCCATGCCCCATTCAAAATCATGAGTCCATTGATTTGGGAACACTTTTCCAACCGTACTAATTTTCTTAGATTCACGGGCACTATTAAACAAAATATTCCTTGATATAAAGATACTTTTAAAACACGCACACTAGTCAGGTTTTTATTAGACAATCAATGAAAATAGTAAATAGATCATTTTTCCCCACTCATTTTCAGTGACTTTAAATCAGGTTACTTAAAGTTGGAGGAATGGGAATTAATTAAAACTGTGAAGGAAAAAAAGTTGACATTTTAGGTCCGGTGACCCTTCCTCAGATCGGAGTTCTGAGGAAGGGTCACTGGACCCGAAGCGTTAACTCTTTTTTTCCTTCACAGATGCTGCTAGACCTGCTGAGCTTCTCCAGCAACATTGTTTTTGTTCCTGATTTACAGCATCCACAGTTCTTTCGGTTTTGAATTAAAAATGCTTTTTTTTTGGTGGTAACCCCATTTTCCTCTGTATGATCCAATCTACACTGTTAATGGATTTGCTATAATTACAGTTGCAAGAAAGGGTTGTTAACCCTTCAACAATAGCTTTGTGTGTTTCTGGCCAGACTTGTTTTAAGTAAACTTTAATATATCATGACGAATACACATTTTGTTTTTCCATAACCGTCCTACAGTATTCCATTAAATGATAAGTAATTAGTACATCTTGTTTTCTCCACAAATTTCAAGATCAGATTTGAAATTTGTGATTTGTCATTAAGGAAAATAAACTTTCAACTATCCTGAAAACTCCAACTACTGATAACAAGCCCTATATTTATAGCCAAGAAGCCAATGGCCTCTTTCCTCTTCCCTAAATGCACTATGTTATCTTCATCTGGTGTCTGGAAATGTCTGGATGGCACTTCTTAATTTGCAAGCTCAACTCATATGACAAATTCATTTTAACTTACTGTACACTGACAAGGTTCAATGGGAAAATTGTTTACTAGTACTGGACAACGTGCTATACCATGTGAAGGAAATTTAGTGGAAACCTGAATTATTTTCTTGTCCTTACAATAAAACGCCTAGAAATCACCCAAAAATAATTGAAAATCAAAAGACAATAGGGAAGGACGAACTCAAAACAAACATCAACATGTCCCCAGGATTGGCTGATCTCCATCCTAGGGCCTTTAAAAACAAAGTGGTGGCATTGTTAATGAATGTATTAGTTAGAATATTCCAAAAATTCCTTTTGTTCTGTTGGGTCCCAATGGATTCGAAAATTGCAAATGGAATACAATTACTTAATATTGGAGGGAGGCAGAAAGTAGGAAAATAGACCAGTCAGCCCAATAAAGGGAAAGCGCAAGAATTCATTATCGAGGACGGTATAACAGATACTTTGAAAATCACGTGATCAGGCAGACCCACTGTGGCTTCGCAAAAGGGATATTATATATGGTAATCTATTTCAATTTCTGACAAAGTAATATTCATGGTGGATGAGGTAAACCAGTAAGTGAGCTGCACTTGAACTTCCAAAAGATATTTTTGTAAGGTGACAAATCAAAGCTTGCTTTACAAGAGAGAGCACAAGGTGTAGGGGGTAACATATTAGCTTGTAAAAAAGAGTTGGTTAGCTAACAAGAAACAGAAAATATGGATAAATGGGTGGGTCATTTTCAGACTGGCAAGCTGCAATTACTAGAGTGTCACAAGACCTCAACTAATTACAACCTTTATCAATCATCTGAAGGAGGGGACCAAATGCATGGCAGCTAAATTTGCCGATAACACCAGATAGGCAAGAATATAATACGTCATGAAGGGGTAGAGAGTCTGCAAACGAATATAGACAAGCTAATAAATCTGGAATTAAAAGTTGCTCTAAATGACATCTATGAAATAATTGTTGAATGTTATTAAAAGCAGCTCTGGCTCATTAATGTTATTTAGGGAAGGTAAATCTCACCTGTTTGGCCTACAGGCGACTCCAGATCACCAGCAATATGGGTGACTGTTAACTGCCCTTTGAAATAGCCTAGCAAGCCACTCAGTTTTATCTAAGCACTACAAAGTTTCATGAAAGGAAATAAATGATGACCTGACAACAGCGTGACATCACAATCCCCAGAGAACCACACATTACAGACAATGTCCTAAGAATCACCATTAACATCCTTGTCCCATATCCTGAGGATACACCCTGGGTCAATGAAGAGTGTAGGAAGGCATGCCATGACTTGTCCCATCAACTGATTAGACCCAGAAGAGATGGTGACACAGTGCTATCCGGTACGGAAGGAGTTGCCTTGGAAGTACTCAGCGTTGACTCTGGACCCCATGAACACTCATCACATCAGGTCAAACATGGGCAAGAAAATTTCCTGCTGATTACCACTCATTGTCCCTCCTTCAGTCAAATATTCAGCACAGCTCCATGACAAACACCACCTGTAGCTAGCTGGAGGGTGGCAAGGAGTCAAAATGTACTCTGGGTGGGGGACCTCAATGTCTATCATGAAGAGTAGCTCAGTAGCACCACTATTGACTGACCTGGCCTATAAAACACAATTGCTAGATTGGGCTTGTAAGGATCAATGTGGGAACCAACAAGAGGGAATAAACACACCTGACCTCATCCTCTTGAATCTATCTGTAGCAGATGCATCTATCCTTTTGTTCATTCATTTGTGGGATGTAGGCATTGCTGGGAAGTCAGCATTCATTGCCTGTCCTTTGTTGCCTTTGAGAAAATGGTGGTAGGCTGCCTTCTTGAACTGCTGCAATCTACCCGTTGTAGGTTATTCTGCAATGGCATTTGGAAGGGAATTCCAGGATTTTGACTCAGCAACAGTGAAGGAACAGTGATATATTTCTAAGGCTGGTGAGTGGCTTGGAGAGCAACTTGCAGGTGGTGGTGTTCCCATGTGCCTGCTGCCCTTGTCCTTCTAGATGGAAGTGGTCTTAGGTTTGGAAGGTGCTGTCTGAGGATCTTTGGCACAACTTCTGCAGATAGTACACTTTGCTACTACTGAGTGTCAGTGTTGGAGGGAGCGGATTTTTGTGGATATGGTGCCAATCAAGTGGGCAGCCGTGTCCAGAACAGTGTCAAGCCTCTTGAGTATTGTTGGAGGTGCACTCATCCAGGCAAGTGGCGAGTATTTCATCACACTCCTGACTTGTACCTTGTAGATGATGTGCGTGCTTGAGAAGCCAGGAGGGGAGTTACTCACCACAGTATTCCTAACATCTGACCTGTTCTTGTAGCCATGGTGTTTGTGGTGAGTCCAGTTGAGTTTTTGGTCAATGCTAACCCCCAGGATGTTGATAGTGGGGGTTTGGTAATGGTAACACCATTGACTGTCAAGAGGTGGTGGTTAGATTGTTTCAAATTGGTGACAGTCAAAACTTGGCATTTCTGTGGCACGAATGTTACTGGCCACTTGTTTGTCCAAGCCTGGATATTGGTGAGATCTTGTTGCAATTAAACATGTATTGCTTCAGTATCTGACGAATTGCGAATAGTGCTGAACATTGTGCAATTATCAGTGAACATCCCCACTTCTGACTTTTTGTTGGAAGGAAGGTCATTAATGAAGCAGCTAAAAATGGTTGGACCTAGGACACTACCCTGAGGAACTCCTGCAGAGATGTCTTGGAGCAGAGGTGACTGACCTCCAACAATCACAACCACCTTCCTATGTGATGACTCTAACCAATGAAGAGATTGCCTCCTGATATCCATTGCTTCCAGTTTTGCTAGGGTTCCTTGATGCCACACTCGGTCAAATGCAGCCTTGATGTCAAGGGCTGTCACGTCACCTCTGGAATTCAGCTCTTTTGTTCATGTTTAAACAAAGGCTGTAATGAGGACAGGAGCTGCCCTTGTGGAACCCAAACTGGGTGTCACTGAGCAGATGCTACTTAATAACACTGCTGATACCTTCAGTTTACTGATGATTGAGAGTAGACTAATGGGGCGGTAATTAGTTGGGTTGGATTCCTCCTGCTTTTTATGTACAGGACATAGCGGGACAATTTTTTACATTTCCATGACAGCACTGGTATGAAGGACCACTACACAGTTCTTGTGGATCTGAAGTCTTAGTTTCACAATGAGGATACCCTCCATGGTGTTGTTTGGCACCATCACGTTAAAATAGATAGACTTTGAACAGATCTGGCAACTAAAGATTGGGCCCAACCATTTTCAATCATGCCCAACTGCTTTTTGCAGCTCAATTTAGTGACCACCTTGCAAGTATCTTGGTTTACATGACTATGCCACGGAATATAAAGATGATGCTCCGACAGTACATTAGTGACTCCCACTCCAGCTCCAGCTCATGATAAAAAGTAAGAAGTAGGCTGTTTGCTGATGATTGTGCAACGTTGAGCATCATTTGCAACAACTCTGATACTACAACTGAAACAGTCAATGTCTAAATGCAGAAAGACATGGACAAGGTTTGGGTTGGGCCAATAAATGCGAAGAAATATTCACATATACAAGTACCAGGTAATGGCCATCTCCAAGAAGAGAGTATTGAACTATCTCCCTTTGGTCGCTCACAATGAGTGTCAGATTACGTGCTTTTAAGAACTGCAGTAATCCTTCAACAATTTTTGGTTTTTAAACATTTCTTTTTCTATTTCAGTCCAAAATTTGAAACAGAACAATAAAAAGCCACTATCTTTATGATGTTAATGCGACAATTGAAAATAAATTATTCATGGGATGAAGTGTCACTGGCAAAGCTGGCAATTTTTTGTTAATCTCAAAACACCCTCAGGAATGGTGGTAGCGAGCCACATTCTTAACTGCCATAGTCCACGTGGTGTCACTACAGAGTGCTGTATGGAATGTAGTTCCAGAATTTAGAAGCAGCGACATTGAAAGGAATGATATAGCTCCACATCAGAGTAGCATGTGGCTTGGAGGGAAACTTTCAGATAATGGTCTTCCCGGACATCTAACTGTGTCTCTTGTTCTAGTGGTAGAAGTCACAGGTATAGATGGTGCAGTTTAATAAGGCTTGGTGAATTACTGCAGAGCACGGTGCATATTGTACAACCTATTGCCATTGTATGTCAGAGACAGAAGAAGTGAATGTTGAAGATAGTGGAGGCATTGCTGATTATGAAGACTATTTTGCCTTGATGGTTATGGTCTTCTTCAATGTTCTTGGAGCCACACTAATCCAGGCAAATGCCCATCACATGTGACTTGTGCCTGGTAGACAGATGAGATTTGTGGAGCCAGAGATCAAGTTATTCACTGCAGAATTCCCAGCCTCAAGTGATGGAAATGCCATTGGATATTAAAAGGAGGTGGCACTTGTGTGACCTAAATATAACTTGCCACTTAAGAAACCAAGCCTGAATGTTGTCAAGTCGTGCTGAATGTGAGCCCAGACTGCTTCCGTTATGAGGAGTTGCAAATAGTACTAAACCAGTGAGCATATTTGTTTATTAGCTAATGACAGTCTAATAATAGATTGATTAAACAGCTAAAGATGGCCAAGCCTAGGGCACTGTTCTAAGAAAACCCTTTAGCTATGGCTTAGAGCTCAGATAATTGGCTTCCAACAATATGCACTTTTCTTTCTGCTGAGTACGACTCTAACTGTTAAAGATTTCCTGGAATCCCATTGACTTTAAATTTTCTAAGGACTCTTGATGCTGCTGTCCTGTGCTAAATGCTATCTTAGTACCACTCTCACCTCACATTTGGAATTCAGCTCTTTCGTCCATGTTTTGATCACAACTGTAACGTGGAGTTGAGTGACGTGTAGTTACGGGACATCATTTTGCCACTAGTCACGTTGCAGACAAGCATCTGGATCTGGACCTCGACCTCACGAAAGCACTCACTTTCTTGATGTTAAGGTGTAGAGGCACAGGGGGTCACTTCCATGGTTTCAATTTGTTGCCAGGGCCCCTGGTGGTCTTGTGTTGCTTGGGTCTACTTAGCAATTTTCCACATTTTAGGGCAGATTCCAGTCTTGTAGCTTCAGTTGAAAAACTGGAACGGAGTTTCTTTATCATAAATCTTCAGCACTACAACTGAGATGTGTTCAGGGCTCATTTTCTTTAATGTAGCTAGTTCCTACAGCTATTGCTCATTATTATGTAAAGTGAAGAGGAGGCAATGGCGTAGTGGTATTATCGTTAGACTGTAAATCCAGAGACCTGGGTAATATTCTGGGGACCCGAGTTCAAATCTCACCATGGTAGATGGTGGAATTTGAATTAAATAAAAATATCTGGCATTAAGAATCTAATGATGACTGTGAATCCATTGTCAATTGTCAGGAAAAACTCACCTGGTTCACTAATGTCCTTTAGGGAAGGAAACTGCCACACTTACCTGGTCTGGCCTACATATAACTTCAGACCCACAGTAATGTGGTTGACTCTGAACTGTCCTCTGGGCAATTAGAGGTGGGCATTAAATGCTGCCTAGCCAGTGACTTGCTCATCCCATTAATGAATAAAAAGAAAAGAACTGAATTGGCTGGAGAGAGGCATCAGTGATGTTGGGGCCTCGGGAGGAGGGGAAAAAGAATTCTGCCCGAGAGTAGTTTATGTCAATGGAGCTTTATTTTCCTTCTAGTTGTTTTATTAACTATTACAATTCTCAACTAGATGCCAAAGGGCCCAGTGGTTGTACAATCACACACTGCTTTCATATTTATGCAGTCCTTGGTATCTTCAATAGGTTGTTGCATATATTAACATTTCCATTTTTTATCTACTTTCTCAAATCAAAAGAACACTCAGAGTCTCAGGTTCTCCATTTAACAAGTAGTAAGGCAAAAGCTTACATTTTAAATAGCTCATTTTCTAAAATGCAAAACCAAGAATAAGAACCCTACTTGTAAGATAATTTTTTTAAAGCTCTACACATGAATTATTACAGATACACTAAAACATTTATGCCAATTTTCACAAGAATAGTTCTTTCCTTCATCCAGCATAAATATAAACCTCCTTTGTCAATTTAGCATGTCAAAGTGGAAAATAGCTCCCACTTTGGTAAAAGATCATGTACCTCTTCACATTCAGCTCCGTGAAACACAACAAGGCTGTCACATTCTCTACATTTTGATGGGGCTCGCAACTTTCGTAGCTTGTGGGTTTGTGCTGCCTTTGACATAAGAGTATTGCGGAAAGGACCTGGAGAACTTGTCATCTCTGCCACAATCTCATTTAAACCTATGTCAGAAGGAAAAGAGCAGGGCACAAATTAGTTTATAACAATCTTTCAATATTCGTAATTTGTGATATACAATTCAAGTTTCTAAGGTTGCACACAGTTTTAGATCATCTTTGCACTCAAATGATGAGGGGACCTCAGTATTGAGCTTTGAACCTCACTAATATGAAGGCTGTGTGATGAGAAAACCGAGTCAGATTAGCTGTGGCTGGCATAGCAGCTACCCTGAAAGCCAGGGTGCAGCATGGAAAATAGGACATCAAAGCCTCAAGGAAGGAAGAGATGAGGCATCAGACAGATAGATTACAGTAGTCCTTCGATGGGATAGCAGGAGTTTAATTTTCTTTTGATATGAGGCAAGAAAAACTATCATTCAAGCTCAACATTCACAACATTCCTGTCAGACAGCATCCCATTATCTTGTTTGAGGTTAGCAAATGATGAGCGAGCGCTGGGGCATTTGAAAATCATATATGCATTCTGCATGACCAATGATGGATCTAATGTTTATACTCCTTGGCACAAGTGTGTGTGTCTTAATGCAAGTATCTGGTCAGAGCAGTTTTTGAAAAATTCATCTACTGGATGTGAGCATTGCTGGCTAAGCCAGCATTTGCTGGCCATCCATAATTGCCCGTGGTGGTGAGCTGCTTTCTTGAATGATTGCATTCCTTGGAGTGCAAGAACAGCCCTAGGGTTGAAAGAAAGGCTAGAAGCAAATTAAAAAGTAGTAAGAAAAGGTGAGGGAACAAAAAGAGGGCTGTTGGGAAATGAGTTCCAGGATTTTGAACTAGGGACATCGAAGGAGCAGTGACATACTTCCAAGCCAGGATAACATGAGGCTTGAAAGGAAACTTGTACACGGTGGACATCATGGATTTGGAAGTTACTGCACTGCATCTTATAGATGGTACATGTTACTGCTATTGTACATTAGTAGTGAAGAGAATGAATGTCATGGAAAGCGGTGAATTCCAGGTGTGAGTGGAGAATGACAGCCCTTGATATCAAGGCAGTGTGTGATCGATCATGGCATCAATGAGTCATAGCAATCATAGGAATCAGGAGAAAAAATCTCCACTGGCTGCAGTCAAACTTAGCATAAAGGAAGATAGTTGGCAGTCAGTCAACTCAGATTCGAGGCATCCCTGCAGGAGTTCCTCAGGGTAGAATACAAGGCAGATTACTACCATTTTCTCAAGAGTAATTAGGGGCCACCATTTATTGTTGGCCAGCCAGCAATGCCCACAATCCATGAATGAATATTTTCATAAAGTGGAAGGTGGTGGATGGAGTGCCAATCAAATGGGCTTTGTCAGGAATGGTGACCACTTCTTAAGTGGCACCCATCCAGATAGATGAAAGAGTATTCCATCACACTCCTGACTTGCCTTGTAGATGTCAAAAAAATACTGGAGGGCAGGAGAGGAGTTATTCACCACAGCTTCCTAGCCTCTGATTTGGGTTTGTAGTGATAGCATTTAAGTCAGTTTCTGGTCAATGATAATCTCAAGATGTTAATAGTGGGGGAATTCAACCACAGTAACACCATTCAACCTCAAATAAATAGAGATTGTACGAACACATTTGTCACCTCAGTCAAAGTCTAAGATGCTGTACCAGGTCTTATTGTATATGAATATGAGCTGCTTCAGTGTAGGAGGAGTCAGGTGGTGCTGAACAATGTCTAATTATCAGCAAACATCCCCACTTTTTACATTACAATGGAGGGAGGGTCAATGATGCAAGCAGCTGAAGATAGTGCAGCCGAGGACACTCCCGCAATAATATCTTGGAATCAAGAGGACTGACCTCCAACAATCACAATTCTCTTCCTCTGTGCAAGGTACAACTCTGACCAATGGAAGGTTCTCCTTAGATTCACAGGAACTCCTGCTCTTACGCTTCTTGATGCCATGTCTGACAAAGGCAGCCTTGATGACCAGAGCACTCACACTCCCCTCATCTCTAAAGATCAACTCTTGTCCATGTTTGGACCAAGGCTGTAATGAGGTCTGGAGTTGAGTGGCAATGAACAGGTTATTGCTGCATAATTATCACTGGATAGTACAAAAGATAGCGTTTCCCCCCAACACTCCACTTCACTTTGCTAATCAAAAGTAGACTAATAAAGGCGGAAACTGACCAGAGTGGACTGGTCCTGCTTTCTGTGGAGTTTTCCACAAGGTCATGTAGATGCCAGTGTTATAGTTGTACTAGAATAGTTTGATTGTGGTGTGTTAGTTCTGGAGCACTTGACTTCATGCCATTTCTAGAATGGTATCAGTCCAAATAGCCTTTGCAGTATCCAGAGCCTTCAGTCATTTCTTGATACCGCATGAAGTGAATTGAACTTGCTAAAGATCGTTGTCCATGATGTTGGAGCCCTCAGGTTGGGACCAAGATAGTCATCCACTTGGCACTCCTGGCTGAAGATGGATGAGATTGCATCAGCTTCATTTTTTTCCACTGATGAGCTGGGCTCCCATCATTGAAGGTGGGGATATTTGTGAAGTCTCTCCCTCTTATTAGTTGTACAATTAGTTGGGTTACCACTATACATGTCTGGCTGGGTCAGGGCTGCAGAGCTTAGATTTGATCCATTGTTATGTGATCTATTCAATTATACTTTGGTTGTTTGGCAGACATACATATTTCATGTCCACTATATTGGGCTCAGGAAGCTGAGAAATAGGAACTGGACAGCTGAATTTCTGGACCAACATAGCAAGCAAACCACCTGTTGCGTTTTTTGTGCTAACAGTTCGAGAGGTGGGAGTTGGCAGGAAAATAATACAGAACCAGAGAGCCTGCGTGTCATTTTATACAATCTGCTGAGACAAATGTAAATAGTCTGTTTTGCTAATCTGAAAGACGTGGTAGAATGTACTTTGAACTCAATTTTCAGTATATATGTTTCCAATACATTTCAAACAGAGAGGCATAACTGAAAAAATGTACAGTTTAGAAAATAAACATTGGTATAAAGCAGAATCTCATAACATCTACTTTTTGATTAAAATGCAAGAATCCAGCATGTAAATATGGTAACTTGAAAATGAAATTAAAAATTTAATTACGTTATTGCTGATCACATTCTTCAATTCATCTGAAAAGAAAATGTACAATATGCTTGTAAATGAAAGATTGCTGCCAACCTAATGACATGGAAAATTGCCAGAAAATTTAAGAAAATCTGAATACACAAAATCAGACCAGATAAGCGTACATGGATCTCTCCTAAAGGATTACTTTGAAATCAGTTTTTTTTTTAAAACTGTAGTGGTACAATATGCATTAAAAACAAGGAATCTTATAGCACAAGGAGACCACTTTACACATTGTGCCGCTGTTTAGACTTTGAATCTGTCCAAATTAATTCCATGCCCAACCTTTTCATCATAATTCTGCAAATTAATCCTCTTCAAGTGAATTTCCACTTGCCTTTGCAAATTACTACAAAATCCGATTCCACAATAATTTCAGATAGTGGTTTCCAGATCATAACAACACTGTGTGAAGAAATCTCACTTCCAATGTAGAGATAACAAGGTGTAGAGCTGGATGAACACAGCAGGCCAAGCAGCATCAGAGGAGCAGAAAAGCTGACGTTTCGGGTCTAGACCCTTCTTCAGAAATGGGGGAGGGGAAGGGGGTTCTGAAATAAATAGGGAGAGAGGGGGAGGCAGAGAGAAGATGGATAAAGGAGAAGATAGGTGGAGAGGAGACAGACAGGTCAAAGAGGTGGGAATGGAGCCAGTAAAGGTGAGTGTAGGTGGGGAGTTAGGGAGGGGATAGGTCAGTCCAGGGAGGATGGACAGGTCAAGGAGGTGGGATGAGGCTGGTAGGTAGGAGATGGGGGTGGGACTTGAGGCAGGAGGAGTGGATAGGTGGGAGGAAGGACAGGTTAGGGAGGCGGGAACGAACTGGGCTGGTTTTAGAATGTGGTTGGGGGCTGGGAGATTTTGAAGCTTGTGAAGTCCACATTGATACCATTGGGCTGCAGAGTTCCCAAGCGAAATAGGAGGTGCTGTTCTTGCAACCTTCGGGTGGCATCGTTGTAGCACTGCAGGAGGCCCAGGATGGACATGCTGTCCAAGGAGTGGGAGGGGGAGTTGAAATGGTTTACGACTGGGAGGTGCAGTCGTTTGTCACGAACCGAGCGTAGGTGTTCCACAAAGCGGTCCCCAAGCCTCCGCTTGGTTTCCCTGATGTAGAGGAGGCTGCATCGGGAACAGCAGATACAGTATACCACATTAACAGATGTGCAGGTCAACATCTGTTTGATGTGGCAGGTCTTCTTGGAGCCTGGGATGGGGGTGAGAGGGGAGGTATAGGGGCAGGTGTAGCATTTCCTGCGGTTGCAGGGAAAAGTGCCGGGGGTGGTACGGCTGGTGGGGAGTGTGGAGCGGACAAGGGAGTCACAGAGAGAGTGGTCCCTCTGGAAAGCAGATAAGGGAGGGGAGGGAAAAATGTCTTTGGTAGTGGGGTCAGATTGCAGATGGCAGAAGTGCCGGAGGATGATGCGTTGGATCCAGAGGTTGGTGGGGTGGTACGTGAGGACGGGGGGGGATTCTGTTTTTGTTGTTATTGCGGGGAGGAGGTGTGAGGGATGAGTTGCGGGAAATGCGAGAGACATGGTAGAGGGTGTTTTTGACCACTGTGGAGGGGAAGTTGCGGTCCTTGAAAAACGAAGACATCTGGGATGTTCGGGAGTGGAATGCCTCATCTTGGGAGCAGATGCGGTGGAGGCGGAGGAATTGGGAATAGGGATGGCATTTTTGCAGGAAGGTGGGTGAGAGGAGGTGTATTCTAGGTAGCTGTGGGAGTTGGTAGGCTTGAAATGGATATCGGTTTCCAGGTGGTTGCCAGAGATGGAAACAGAGAGGTCCAGGGAGGAGAGAGGTATCAGAGATGGTCCAGGATGAACTTGAGGTTGGGGTGGAAGGTGTTGGTGAAGTGGATGAACTGTTCGAGCTCCTTGTGGGAGCACGAGGCGGCGCCGATACAGTCATCGATGTAACGGAGGAAGAAGTGGGGGATGGGGCCAGTGTAGCTTTGGAAGAGGGATTGTTCCACATATCCTACAAAGAGGCAGGCATAGCTTGGGCCCATGCGAGTACTCATGGCCACCCCCTTTGTAGGAAGTGGGAGGAATTGAAGGAGAAGTTGTTCAGGGTGAGGACGAGTTCGGCTAAGCGGATGAGGGTGTCAGTGGAGGGGGACTGGTCGGGCCTGCGGGACAGGAAGAAGCGGAGGGCCTTTAGGCCATCTGCATGGGGAATGCAAGTGTATAGGGACTGGACATCCATGGTAAAGATGAGGTGTTGGGGACCAGGGAATCGGAAGTTGTGGAGAAGGAGGTGGAGGGCGTGGGTGGTGTCACGGACATAGGTGGGGAGTTCCTGGACCAAGGGGGAGAAAATGGAGTCGAGATAATTGGAGATAAGTTAGGTGGGCGGAGACAATGGGTCAACCAGGGCAGTCAGGTTTGTGGATTTTGGGAAGGAGATAGAAACGGGCGGTGTGGGGTTGGGGAACGATGAGGTTGGTCCTACTATCTCACTTCCAATGTAGGCCCTTTGGAATGATTTAAAATCTATAACCTCTCATTACTGACCTATTTGTCAGAAGAAATAGCTTGTTCTATTTACTGTAACAAACCTCTAATTTGGACAATTCTATTAGATCTTCTTGTCAGATTTGATGCTTCAAAGGAAAAGCCAGCTGCTCCAAAAGCAGAATGCTAGGGTTCCAAAGAAAAGTCACCATTGGACTCAAAAAAAGTTAGTACTTTTTCTCTCTCCAGACATACTACCAGACCTGCTGAGTTTCTCCATTACTTTGTTGCAATCCCAGTTTCTTAAATCACTCCAAGTAAAATCAACTCCTTAATCCCTGGTAACATCCTGGTAAACCTCTTTGTATGCTGTCCATTGAAAATATTTCGACAAAACATGGTCCACATAGTTCTCCACAATATTCCAGGTGATAGGAGCATGTAAAATAGCATGTGAGTGGTGAAACCAGATTATTAAGGAAGTTAGGGGAAGGAGAGAAAGAGGTGCTCCTTTGCTTTTGCTTTTCACAACCTTCAGCCTCCAGAAATTGATTCTTACTCTGCTAGAAGAAGCTATTTGGTGAGTATTTGGTATGTCACTAATGTTTATTCTATTCCTAAGGTTCACATGCAGTTGGACAATAGCACCTGGTAGTAAAAGTTAAAAACTATCAAAACGTAAGTAAACATAATGGAATTAAACAGTTGAGTTGTTAAATTAGAACACTTTAAGAATAGCAGGACAGATGCTGTAACACAGTTGCAGCATGACAGTGCTCCTAGATACTTGTGTGATCCAAAGGGCTCTTGCAGTGCAGTGGTAGTGTCCCCACCTCTCAGCCAAGAGACCTAGTTTCAAGTCGCACTCGCTTCAGAGGTGCGTAATAACATTTTTTGAACAGGTTGATTTTAAAAAAATGTCTACACCATTGTGATCCAGACCAAACATGTTCACACTAAATGTTTGAAGTTTGTGCAGCTTTAGCTCAAAGCTATGAATTGGAGATTGAACTGTAGACAATGTGATGTACAAGGAAGGTGGTGTGTTACTTGCATTCTTTGTATCAGGACACAATCACACCTCTTAGGATTGGTCAATGCTCAGGGACATAAGGACATGACTCCAATTAAGGCAGATAAAGGAATACAGGGGCATCAGCTTTTACAACTGTCCAAGAAATGAGGACCTTTCAACCTTAGGAAATATAATAAACATTAGATGTAAGAGTGGGGGCTGAAGGTCAGATCAGCTAGCTGACTATGTCCCAAGGAGACATTGAAGTGGAGATGGTAAGGAGAGAGATGGCAAGTTAGAAGCCTAATTATATTTCTGCAGAAAAGAGAGTATGTCCAGTCAATTGTGTTGCCTGCCAGATGTCAGAATTCAGGACATCTGCTCAGAGTGAGAAAGGAACTTGCAGTGGAAGTGGAAGGATCTAATTGCCATGGTCCATATATGTACCAACAGCATAGGCATGAAAAGGAGGTGGTTTTGCATCATCAGTATGAGGAATGAGGACCCAAATTAAGAATTAAGAAGCTAAACCTCAAAAAAGTAATAATTTCTGTATTACCATGTGAATAAGTGCAATTCAGGTTCACACTGGCATAGTGCAAATCAGAGTAAAGAGATGAATGTCTATAGAAGCTCCTGAAGATCAGAGGACAGGACAAAATATCAGACATTGTTCACTTGAGCTAATATACCAAGCATCCTCAGCATATGGAGATAGTCACAACAGAGTTGGACTGGTCATTTAGCTGGAATGGATGACACTCTCTTAGCAAAGCATATCTTCTGCAGAGAGCCTGTGTGCACTCTCACACCAGTCAAACAAAGTCTATAAGTTCACTCTGAAGGCTTTATTATAAATTTTGATATCAATTACTTCTGTGGGAGAAGCTTCCTAGGGTCACTGCACCAGGCATAACCACATGAAAAGAAAAATCCTTGAAAGCAAGCATCGCAAAAGTGAAGAAAAAATGGAGAGAGAGAAAATCCTGATCTAGTAATTCAATTACCTACAGTAGCCTGTCCGATTTGCAGCAGAGGTTTCAGAATGCAGATCAATCTTAGCAATCACCTTTGCTCCCTCTGAAACTGTATTAAACGGTCCAGAAGAAGAAACTGTCAACTTCACTTTGAAGGACCAAGAAGAATAGCACACCACCTTGGAAATGTAATTACTACCCTTAATAAATACAGCCACTGCTCTTCTCATCACTTTTGGTCACACAAGTGGCTCAGGTGAACCAGTTGTGGGGATGATATTCAGGCCATCCACTTTCTAAAAAGCAGGCACTTACTAATGACAGACAAAGATGGAGAATTGTATGAACTAGGGAACACTTCAGCATATTTTAAATGTTGCCTGAGCTGGTGGGCTTTTTCAGCATTCTTTAAACAAAGACAAAAATTTAAATTTACTTAATCTCAGGATGACTGAATTTTTATGTAAACTTGTGAAATATTATCCTTTATAAATAGATCTCAAAACATTAGGATGAAATAATGCCAATACAGAGCAACTTTATACATACCATTGTCTAACGGTGATGGTGGTTCCCTTTCATCTAAGTCATCTGCTGAAGACATAGTGCCTGTTGAGGGTGTTCGGGGCAGCCTTCGCTTGAAATCACCTGGATCAGTTAAAAACAACCATATTTATGATTAGTTATTGCGAAACTGGATCAAAATCAAACATAGTTGGTTTAAGATGCAACTCGTGGGCTTGAACAGATGTATCAAAATGAGGTTTGAGAACCAACTTCATACATAATAGGCTAATCTAACTGCAATCTAAGAACGGTGGTACAAGAATCTATAGAAGCACCTAGAAAAGATAGTAAGAATTTTATTTTTAATTTTTTAAAAAAATACAATCTAGATATTACACTTGTATTACCATTTCACTTCCAAGAACAACACTGCACACGGATCTAATCGTGGACATATTTAGAGACAGTCACTGTTGGTTGGAATCGTGGCTAAATTCCAACATTAAATTGGGTAATAGTCAGGTGGAGTTGTGAGGCTTAACTTGCTTACTTGAGGCATCTTATTTTGGTTACTATGTGCAATTAAAGTTTAAATTATTGTTTCAGTACTTGATTACATGAAATTTCTTAATAAGTAGCCAAATTAAAAAGGTAACATGTGGTGATTTACCCACAATATCCCGCAGCTCATCATACCTGAATCATCAAAGCTACACTAAATCTACACTAGTCCCACTTTCTAATAATAGGCCCATAGCCTTGCATGTTCATCCAAGTTATGTTTTAAAAATTGAGATTATCCACTTCAAATACCCTCCCAGACGGTGTATCCCACATCCCCACAACCGAGAGTAAAAAAAAGTTTTCCACAAATGCCCACAAAACCTCCTGCCTTTCACCTTAACATTATGCCCCCCATGTTATTGACACTTTGACAAAGGGGAACAGCTGCTTTCTATTCATCCTGTTCATCCCTATCAAGTCCCCCCTGAAGCTTCTCTGCTCGAAAGAAAATAACCCTAGTTTATCCAACCCCTCTTCAAAACTAAAAAATTTTCAACTCCTGTCAACATCTTGCTGAATCTCCTCTGCTCCCCCTCCAGAGCAATCACAACCTTCCTCTAGTGCAGAGACCAGAACTGCAAACAGTATTTCAGTTGTGGCCTAACCAAATTCCTGTACAGCTGCAGCATGACCTCTTTGCTTTTATAATCTATGCCTTGACTGATAAAGGCAAGCATTCCATATATCTTTTTAACTACCCTATTAACCTGCCCAACCACTTTCAGGGATTTGTGCACAAACATCCCAAGATCCTTCTGCTCCTGCGAGCTTCTTATTGTCTTGTCATTCATTGTGTATGCCCTCGTCTTGATAATTCTTCCAAAATACATCACCTCATATTTATCAGGGTTAAGTTCCATCTACCACTGATCTGTCCAATCCATTTATATCCTCCTGCTGCCCAAGATCTTGTCCTCACTGTCAACTACCCAACTAATCTGTGTCATTTCCAAACTTACTTATCGTCCCATTCAAGACTCATCTAGCACCAATCCCTGTGGTACGCTACTGGACACTGGCCTCTAGTTACATAAACAGCCTTTTATCACCACCTTTTGTCTCCTATAGCTTGGCCAAATTTGGATCCAACTTGCCAAATTACGCTGGATCCAACATGCTTTTACCTTCATTATCAGTTTCTCATGTGGCATTTTGTCAAAGGCTTTGCTGAAATCCATATAAACAACATTAACTGCACTGCTCTCATCTACATTGCTTGGTCACCTCTTTGAAAAATTTAACCAGATTTGGTAGACATGACCTCCTCCTGACAAAGCCATGCTGACTACTCCTTGATCAAACCTTGCTTCTCTAAAATGGAAATTAATTCTCTCCTTCAGAGTTTTATCCAATAGTTTTCCTACCATTGAATGAGCATGTTAGCATGGATAGAGGACTGGTTAACCAATAGAAGACAGTAAGTTAGGATAAAAGGATCATTTTCTGTGAAGTGCCACAGGGATCAGTGGTGGAGCCACAATTATTTACAATATATATCAATGACTTAGATTCCAGAAGTGAAGGTACTATCACCAAGCTTGCAGGTGTCAAAACTAAGTTGTAAGGATGTCACAAATTGTCCACTGAGGGATACAGACAGATTAAGGGAATGGACAAAAACTTGACAGGTAAAATATAATGTGTATAAATGTGATGTATTACAATTCGGCAAAAGGAAAGATAAGTTGACTATTATTTAAATAGAGAAAGTCTGCAGAAAGCTACAACAGAGGGATTTATGGGTCCTTGTGAATGAATCACAAATACCTGGCATCCAAATTCAGTAGGTAATAAGGAAGGCAAATGAACTGTTGTCCTTTATTTCAAAGGAACGGAGTATAAAAATAGGGAGGTCTTGCTAAAACTATAGAAGGCACTAATCATACCTCACCCAAATTCCACAACAGCTTTAGTCCCTTTAGCTAAGGAAAGATATACTAGCATTTGAGACAGTGCAGAAAAGGTTCACTAAGTTGTTTCTGGGCATGGAGGGATTATCGAATATTTTTGACTTGTAATCATTGGACTTTAGAAAAATGAGAGAAGACATAGAACACAGAGTGTTAGAGCAGAGGAACAGACCCTTTGACCCAACATATTTGCATCGACCATGATGCCATTCTAAACTAATTCCATGTGCTTACACATGGTCCATATCCTTCTATTCCCTGCTTGTTCATATCTGTTCAAGTTCCTCTTAAACGTTGGTATTGGATTTACTTCTACCATCTCCCCTGGCAGCATGTTGTGAAAATGTGTGAAAACTTGCTTCGCACATCTCCTTTAAACCATACTAAGTATTAATGACAGTAACTGGTATGCTGGCTTCATTACAAAGTGATTCAAGTGCAAGTGTAACTGTAGAGTCTTGGTGAGACTATATCTAGGGTTTGGTGCACAGATTTGATCTCTTGAGGGAATCTGGAACGAGGGTCATAATCTCAGAGGAGGAGGATTCCCATTTAGGACAGAGGTGAGAAAGAATGTTCTTTCTTATAGGGTAGTCAGGATGTGCAATTCTTCACTGCAGAGGACTGTTGAGTCTACTTAAGTATATTCAATATACTTAGACAGATAAACCTTGGTTCCCTGATTCAAAATCTATGGGGATAACATAGGAGAGTAGACTTGAGGATTGTCACATCAACTATGATCGTATTGAATGGTAGAGCTTACTTGATGGGCCCAATGTCCCACTTCTACTCCTGCACGTTATGGTCTTTTAACATTCAAGAAGCTTGTCACCTTCCAGAACAAATTAGCCCCGGATTTTGACCCAATCCACTGTCTTAACCAAGATGCACTGCAGCACCTCCCAAACCCATGAACTTTAGCACTAAGCAGGACACAGCAGGAGTATGGAATCACAATCATTTCTTCAACTCTCTCACTGTCCTGATATGGAAATAATTGCCATCTCTTCTTCAGCCTGGAGTCAAAACCGCTCAGCTCCCTACGGTACAGCACTGTCACCGCTAAGATTGTGTTTTGTTAAGGTAATGGCTCATCGCCACTTAATAGGGTGAATGGGGACTGAAATAGCGTGAGAGGGAGGGCATACGAAAAGAAGAGAAAAAACATGGAGAACTGATGATGGTGGAGAGGAAAGGACAGAAGAACAGAACATGAAGTCTCAGTTTTGTCCAATCCTAATTCTTGTGTTTCATTTTAATTTAGTGACCACATGCAGAATACCACAATGACTTTATAAAGTATCTCTTGCCCAAAAGACTTGAATGCCAAGTGATCTGTTAGTGCCTGTTATTGACTGAGCACAGAAGGCAAATCACCCCTAACACTCTTGTCTATTCAGTGTAATTATTAAATGAAAACAGAGGAAAAAACTTTCATCCACAGATTTTCTGTTTCAGCATTATTTCCCAATACTGTTAGCAACTAAAGAAGTAGCCCCTTTGTTCATTAAATTTTGTAACATCCAACTTCTAAGACATTTTAGAATTTAAAACAGATTGACAAAATCCAAGTTAAAGAATAGCAGAATGTCTCCGCTAGCAAACAGGCAATAAAAGTACATCACCATAGTCCTACCAGACAATAGGGCTGGTCTTTCATTACAGATAGATAACTGGTGGTGGTTTAACCGGAGGGTCGCTATGCCTCAGGCGAGGGAACAGGTTGAGAAGGAGAATCCTTAACGGTATCCATAGTGCGGGAATTGAACTCATGCTGTTGGCATCACCCTGCATTGCAAACCAGCTGTCTAGCCAAGTGAGCTAACCAATGCCCAAATAGATAATACTAACTGATTAAGATAAAAGTGTGTTTGAAAAATTAACTAAAACCAACAAACTCAAGATCACCCAGAATGTAATATTTGCAATAAAAGCTCTTGGTTACACACCTGGACTAGCAGAGGGTGAATCCATAGATCGTGATTCGCTGCTTCCTCCTCCACTTTCTGAATCACTATACATACCACTCCCCTGAGTGCCTGAGGACCAAGCTCTAAATGGCGCATGATTCCGGACTGTTACAAAAAAAAAACTTTGGTAATGGTACACAACTGATAATATTACCTAATTCAGTCATATCCGTGACACAACAGATCATTTCATAAACCAAAAGAAAAACTAAACCCCAAGTAATATTGAAACTGAAAGAAATGCAGTAACAATGAACTACAGAGTTCTGTGGCACAAAAGATGATGGACAATTGATATTTTATTTTGCAAAACCTAATGGAATGCTGGCTGTTGATCAGACCTTGAGTGAAAAAAGGGACAAAAATCTGACAGGGATTCCAGGTTGAGCACTTACTTTTAGTGACTAATGAAAATAGTGCTCATAGTAACATGAAACTAATTCACATCGTGGATACTTTAGTAGAAGAGGTCTGAGCCCAAAAATGACTACGGGATAATTTAGGCAGGAAACTTACAAAACAGGACTGGTTGTACAGGTCTGGTTATAACAGTTTTATTTTTACAAACAGAATTATAATTAAATAGGTAAAATCTGGTAATTTAGAAGAAGTGCGTTGGTATATTTATATTTTAAGATACTGCACCAAGGAAGTTTACATTAACAGGAACAATTTTAATTATCCAGTGACCAATCACTGGTAACACACTCCATTGAGATAGATTTAATAATCTGCACATTACATACAAAATGGGAGTCCGCATGCAACTCACTGGCTCCAAACAAGTGACCTACACGACTTTGACACAGGAAATGTAGGTTAGGGTGGGGGTTTGGAGTCCTGAGCTGGAGGAGCCCAGATATTTCTGTGAAGGTCAAAGCAGCTCTTTTTATGTTCCTCTTTATAATTTTAACATTCATGGTTTCAGGTCTCTTCAGTTGGATTACTTATTAAGCAAGCTATGCTGCTCTATGAAAACTACATCTAAAATTATCACTAGAGTGTTAAATCTGCAAGCCTCTAATTTAAGACATCTAAACAAGTTCAAATTTCAATACTCAACAATTAGGACCAAAATTATGCTAAAACCAGACTTTCAAAAAAGCATACCTTATTAGCAAAGCACCCCTTCATCCAAATACTCTCCTGAATATTGAAAATTAACCCAATGAAGACAAGTCATTGCTGAAAAAAAGAATCATTTTCTGCAAACGTCTAAGGCATTTCACCAACGTTGAACACCTGGTAATGCATCACTGGACAGATAACTGAATCTCTAAGTCTGAATGTAAAGCAATTATACATAAAGCATTGAACATATTACATGCGAAACAAAAGAGTTCAAATACCTTGTAGATCAGAAGCATGATCTGACTGCTTTTCTCCAAGATTAATTGATCTAATATGATGAGGACTTTCAACATCAGGTGACTGAACAGTAAGATCACCTGAGGTTCCTGAAGTCTGTGACAAATTTCCTTGTGACGAATGAGGGCTATTTGTTGCTCTTTTAAGAAATGGAAGCCTGCAGAGAGGAAAAAATAACATTGGTGTAAGGAAATATTTCTCAGTTCTGTTGAAATTAATTTATTTGTTACCAAATTTAGAAGAGAAGGGGAATGAGGGAAGAATTGCATTGGAAGGTAGCCTCACTTCATCCTGAACGAACAAAATAGATATCTGACCAGTAAAATTTAAAAAAAAAAGTAGGTGAAACCCAGATCTGGATGTCCTTCTTACCATTTCCAAGGAATTTAATTTTTGCCAGTAGTGCGAAGAAGGTAGGAGTGATTCACATGAAGGAAGCCCAACTCAGCACTAACTTCAAATAGTATATTTTTTGCTGCAATAAGAGCCTTAGCTTACTGTGTAGGTGTCACAAATTTATGGAGATGTAAATGCTCATGAAGGTGGTTTTAGTGTGCAGAACTGTCTAGCCTCTCCATTATTTATACTTCCTCCAAAAACAGTCTGCCTGTTGAGAATTCAAAAAAATCCATTTTGGACAATTACAACAGCGTTTGTTGACATTAAGCCCAAGGGCCAACATTATTTCATTAATGATTGGCTATTTTCCACAACCCAAAGTTATCTCAGTAGGGTAGCTGCGTGTTCACAGTTTAACTGACAGCTGAAGGAGGTTATTAAGACTAGCTATCTTTGCTGCGGTCTGTATTTTGGCAAGCGACTAAGTACTTTAGGGGCCTTTAAAACTATGAATGGGCTTCCATGAACAGAAAAATTGTTTATTACAGACAGGTCTGTAGCAAATATTTAGATCTCAAACTGGTTCCCGAGGTCTACTAATGGTGGATACTGATTGAATAGTCATGGAGAATGTCAGCTTTAAAAGCACGATGCTTGAGTGGAAGAGAAAAAATGAGTTGTATATTTTCAAAATTTAACTGATTCAGTTTCAATGTAACATCATATATTTGGCACATTGTGTTGCTAGCAATTTGATAATTAAAAATATTAAATGATTCTTCCATCATTCTGAGGTGCAGAATGGTGTGTAGTGGAGGACATAAGGTGGAATGGATGGGGCAATGACATGAGAAGGACTAGGTGCCTTATATGAACAAAAGGAACTGAGAACAAGTCTTAGAAAGGAGATGGGCTATTCGTATTCAGCAACCCTTCAGGTCATATGTCTTATCTGCATTTAGGCGGCAGGCCCTACTATATCCTGTAACTTTACCTCAAATTCCCCAGAGTGTAAATCATGCCTTTCCCAAGGCAGGTGAGTCAAATTGAGAAATTTCCCCAATTCAAGCAGCCTGAATCATGAGCGAAAATTCAGTCCAAAGAGTTCAGAGAGGAGTTGGGGTAATAATAAAAAGTAGAGTTGGAGATCACAAGTAAAAACATCCACATTACAATCACTGGCACAATAGGTTGACTAATATAGTACATGAATTTTCTGAGGGTCACTGTCACACTCTTGCAGTTAAATTCTTTCTCCAAATAATTTAAAACCAGCAGCCAATGCACTTTAATACATGTACTCTGCAATGGGATTTGGACAGCAGTATTTGTTACACATTCCTAACTGCCATTGAACTGAGTAGCTTATCACACAATTTCAGGGGGCAGTTGAGAACCGTTACTTACCCACCATTTGATGAAACTGAATATTGAAATAAGTATGGCTCCATTGAACCTTCCTCCTTTGGCAAACTTTTGACAAATTCTGAATACTGTTGTCCTGGTTCATAAAGCTTGGTATTTTCACAAAGAGATTGATAGTTAACAGGAAGTGAGACCACTTGGGCATGCTGCATCTGAAACAAGTTGACTGTCACCTGAAAGAGGCAGTTATTTTTATTGAAATATTTTCTGCAAAAGGTAGTAGTACTGCAACTTAAATGACAATGTTTTTAAGAAGTAAGAAGATTTATGTGAACTTCACAAACGTATTCTTTCTATAAAAAAGTTATAACTGCGCAAGCATCATTTGCAAAAATACAAGCTTACCGATTTTAATGTGAGATCACATTGATAGACTAATTCACGTAACTGTGTAAGAATATCACTCTTGATGTTTTCCATATTGCTTCGTTTTTCATTGGCATCTAATATAGAAGCTTTGAAATGTTCTTCAGCTTCTTCAGCCTGCAAAACAGTTTTAAAATGATCAATTTTGCATGGATCCAATTTTCATTGTCACAAATATTCAAAATAACAGAATATTTAAGGCAGGGGTTCCCAAGTTCCAAAGCAGAAATGACTGTCAACAGACTCAGGCTGCTCTGACAGCTGTGCAGCCTCTGAAAAACATTGTGTTTTTCTCGAGCAACATACCTGACCAACTCCTCACAGAGATCCCGTTCCTGCTGTGTGAGCGCCTCTGTGAAAAGACAAGTGTTCATTCTACCCACCCTTTCATCCACTGCTCTGAGGGAGGTGGGAGATGGCAATATAGAAAGTGAAGGGAATGCAAGATGGGCATGAAAATGGGCTTACACCAGATACAAGTTTGGGATGCATAGATTTAAAAAGGAAAAATAACTGTACAGACAACTTTAACCTTTGATCTCCGTAAGGTTTTAAACGGATTATTTGAATGAAATCTTCATTCCGCACCTCAGAATGATGGAAGAATCAATTAATATTTTTAATTATCAAATTGCTGGCAACACAATGTGCCAAATATATGATGCTACATACGAAACTGAATCAATTAAATTTTGAAAATATACAATTCAAAATTTTAAATCTAAAACCTTAAATGGAGTTAAAACAGGCAGCATTCCTAAAGACGACAGACAAACAAAAACTGTAAAAGTTTATAATATGGTTTAAAAAAATTACTTTTTGTAAGGCATCTTCTTCCAGTTTTCTTTTTTTTTCAAGATATCTGTTGTAATTTCCAGTTAGCCCACTACTGAAACTCAACTGTTCCTCTTCTGCTCGAATTGTAGAAGACCTGGCCTTCTCATATTCTTCCTGGCGTTGAAGGTACAATAGATTTGCTTTCCTGTGGGATGTTTCTGCTTCATGCTGACAAGTACATAAAATTAACTTAATGTTTAGAGAATAGGCAGTTCTTTTAAAAACAATTAATGAGGAGCACGTCAGAAATTTGATTAAATTTAAAAATTGCATTATAGAAAAACTGAGACACAACTTAAAAGAATATAAAGCATAGTACCATTTTTCTTTGTTCTCGCTGCCACTGCTCTTTAATTTCTTTACGTTGCTTATCCAGTTCATTCCTTCGCAACAGAAGTGGCTGCAAAAACACGGAGAAACAAAGGTATTTAACAACTTTGAGTTTTAAAAAATTGTAAAAATCATGGGTTCAGATTATCATATTTCAAGAGTTAAACTACAATTTTCAGATGTTGATAACTGTCCGAAATAATCCCACATTCAAGATTATGGAGATATGAGCTAACTTTACACACTCAAAAAACAAACTGGGAATAAATTAACTGGATGAGGTGCTAAACAGAAGGGAGGAGAAAAATAAACTGTTCATTTCACATACTATTACTGTACATCTTTTAGCAGATCACTTACCTATCTACTTAAGGATCATCTTATGGAGACCAAAAGTGATAGAAAATGAGAAAATGAGACAATGAGACAAAGAAATGAAAATCATATATTTTGAAAATTATGAAGGAGCTGCAATGGTTTGATAAGCCTAGGAAGAACTAATAAATTAATTAGGAAATAAACTCAAAACAAAAGTCAAGTCAGTATTTAGTGCATACAAACTTTCCTAATATTAGTATTTCAACGGGCAACTGGTATAATGAAATACCAGTAAATTTGAATTTGTAATAACGAAACATAACCATTCTTTGTAACGAGAACTTTCCTCAGCAAAATAAAGTTAAACCATGCAAATGTCTCACCTGAATAAATTTATTTGATTGAAGGCCTGCTCCAGTTTGAAGAACAGTCTGACAGTACTCCACGTCATAGTCAAAAGCAGACATGTACACTGATTGAAATGGCATGTGTTCCTGTTTAAAAATAAAATAAAAATATGATCCAAGTTAATAGTACTACAAGTTAGTAGAAAGATGTTAACACAAATCTTAAAATCAAGTTTCAACTTGATTTCCAACACTAAGTTACAGAGATTCAAGTTCGAAGAAATTATATTCCTAACTCATAGAGATGAGTTTATGCTTAAGTAACTTCTCCCAGTTTCTCTTTCTTGAACTGTACAGACAATTTTACAATTCAAGTTTGATCGCATGAACACGTCATAATTCTGACAGCCTAAATTTTTCAAATTCTGACACCATTAAGATTTCTAACCCAAACTCTATTTCCTTGGAAACTTCACAAACTAGGGAAGGCATTGCTGCTGCAGTGACTGGGTGCACCTGAACTGAACAAACTCCTGTTGCAAAAGAAAGTAAAACTTGCTTCTGAACAAAACTCTTGATGCTTCACAACTGAACTTTGAATTTTCTGCTTTGAAGACAAAGCAAAGCTAATGGCTGAATTCTTTTTTTACATTATCTGTCATAAACCCAAGTATAAACATCTTATTCTACTGATACTCCAGGGGTTCTCCCAAGCCCTTGTTTGCAGTCAGATTTGGAACCGGCACATCTAGATCTTGAATGACTTTGACCTTTAGTTTATATATAAAAAGAACTTCACAGCATTAACCCATATGCCTTACTTTTTAAAACAATCCAAATACCAAAATGTCAGGATCTGTAAAATGTATCATCTCATCACAAAAAATGCTAATAGAACACTCTTATTCAAAAAAGGAGGGAATAAGTAGGAAACTACAAGCCACAAAAACAGAAATTGGTGCATCAGGTCTGGTAGCATCTATGAAGAGAAATCAGAGTTAACATTTCGGATCTGATGACCCTTCTTCAGACCCCCTTCCTCAGAAACTACAGGTCATGTTAGTTTAACATGGGAAATTATTAGAATCCATTACTAAGGAAGCAACAATGGAACATTTGGAAAGTCAAAACACACTCCATCAGAGTCAACAAGGTTTTATGAAGGTAAATCATGTTTAACAATGTACTAGAATTTTTTGAAGATGTTGTAAACAATGAGGATAAAAGAGGTCCTGTAGATGTAGTATACCTGGACTGCCAGAAGGCATTTAATTAGATATCGCACAGAAAGTTAATATACAAGGTCAGGGGTAATTCATTAGCTTGGACAGAAAGTTGGTTAACCAACAGAAGGCAGAGTTGAGATAAATGGGTCTTTTTCTGGTCAGCAAGATATAACTAGTGGGGTGCCACAAGGTTCGGTCCTTGGGCCTTAACTGTTTACAATCTATGTTAATGACTGGGATGTAGGGATAGAAAGACTGAAGGGTTATGGACAGAGGCAGAAAGTGGAATTAAGGCTGAGACAAAAATCAACCATGATCATATCAAGTGGCAGAGCAGACTCGAAGAGTTGAATTGCCTACTCCTGCTCCTAATGCTTATGCTCTTTGATCAAATTTTGATCAGAAGACTTTTAGCTCATCTATCCTACCAAACCAATCATCCTTTATCCCTTACTGGAGGTTGCCTTATCAATTATAAGCTTTAATAACTATTATTCTGAATGAATTTCCCTTTTGACACTTCCTAAAAAAATGTGTGCCTGATTTACTACTGTAGGAATTTTGTGCATGTATTCAATGCCCATTCACTCCTAAACATGAGTGAATTATACGAATTGCTCACTTACTAAATCCCAAATCTGTAAACTTTTTCTTGAATCTGTTCATGGGATGTGGAAGTTGATGGCTAGGCCAGCATTTATTGCCATCCCCAATTGTCCAGATGGAAGTTAAGGGTTAACCATACTGGAATCTGGAGTTACATGAAGGCCATATCAGGTAAGGATGGCAATTGTTAACTTCACTAAAGGACATCAGTGAACCAGATGGATTTTAATGATAATCCAACAGTGGTTACATCGGTTCCATTAGGCCAGTTCTTCCTTAAAAGAAAAAACAAATTTCACCATGTACTATGGTGGATTTCTTACTCACGTCCCTGGAATATTAGCCCGGGATTCTGGGTTACTAGTTCAATGACATTATAACTATGCCATTTGTCTACATGTCACGAAATTGCTTTGGGAAAAACAGAATGTTGATAACTGAGCAGCACATTTTGCAACAGTACTTGTATTCCCCAGTGTTAGGCAATGTGACGCTTACCTGTTGTCCAATAAAGGTCTTAGCTGACTCTGCCAATTTTGAAAAGCTTCTTGCATATTCCATATCTGGATGTTTAAATAAAAATAAAAAAAAAGGTTAGAAATAAAATTCATTCACAGGATGACGGCGTTGCGGCTAGGCAAGGATTTATTGACCATCCCTCATTGCCTAGAAGACAACTCAGAGTCAAACATATACTGCTGTGTTCTGTAGTCACATGTAGGCCAGGCAGGTAAAGGTGGAAGATTTCCTTCCTTAAAAAGACATCAGTGAACCAGATGGGCTTCTCTGACAATGGGTTTCATGGTCATCATCAGACAATAACTCCAGATTATTTTTAATTGAGTTCAAATTTCACCATTCGCCATGGTGGGATTCGAACATGGATCCCCAAAACATTACCTGGGAGTCTAGATTAATACTGTAGTGATAATACTATTAGGCCATTGCCTCCCCACCAGACAAAGATATCAAAGCAAAGATGGGGTTGATAATAGGAACCAAAAATGTAATCCTCTTGAGGAGGCACACAGCATTCCTGAGGTACTAAATGAGGACTTTGCAAGGAAAGGATGCCACCAAAGTCACAATAATGGGAGATGCAGTATGGTTATTAGACAGGGTAGAAAAGTTGGTGGCAGACTAAGTCTTAAAAGTTATTCAAGCCCAGATGAAATGTATCCTAAGTAGCAGAGAGAAACGTGCTTTGCAAATTGCAAAGATTCCAGTCAAAAATTTTCAATTCCCATTAGGTATGGCTGAGAACTGAAAGATTGCAAATATCACAAAAATATGCTTCAAAAAAAAAAAAAAAAGAGGGGAATTGGCACAGGTTATAGAGCTTAGAAATAGAATATTTAGTCCAAACAATCCATGTTAGTGCTTATGCTCCATTAGAACTTCTTCTCGTATTTCCATAGCTAACTATCAACATAACCCTCAGCTCCCTCCTCACTCACATTCTAAAGTCAGTCATATAGCACAGAAACAGACCCTTTGGTCCAACCAGTCCATGCCAACTGTAATTTCAAACTAAACTAGTCCCATCTGCCTGGACTTGGCCCATATCCCTCCAAACATTTCTTATTCATATACTTATCTAAATGTCTTTTAAATGTTGTAATTATACCTGCATCCACCACTTCTTCTGGACGTTCATTCCACACATGAACTGTAAAAGAACTGTCCTTCACGTTTTTTTTTTAAAACTTTCTCCTCTCACCTTAAAAAAAATCCCCAGTCTCAAAATCCCCCACTCTAGTAAAAAGACGCTTGCCATTTACCTTATCTATAGCCTCATGATTTTATAAACCTCTATAAGGTTACCCCTCAACCTCCTACACTCTTGTGTAAAAGTCCCAGCCTCTCCCTATAACTTAAACCCTCCATTCGGGACAACATCCTGGCATTCTCTTCTGAACCCTCTCCAGCTTAGTAATATCCTTCCTATAACAAGGAGGCCAGAACTGTATACAGTACTCCAGAAAAGGCCTCACCAATGTCCTGTACAACCTCAACAAAATGTCCCAACTCCCATACTCAAAGATCTAAGCAATGAAGGCAAGCGTGCTAAATGCCTTCTTAACTACTGTATCTATATATGATGCAAACTTCAAAGAATTACATACTTGAATCCAGAGGTCTCTCTGTTCTTCAACACCACCCAAGGCCCTCCTTTTAACTGTATAAGTCGTCTTTGTTTGGTTTTACCAAAATGCAATTCCTATCCAGTCTCCCGCTAAATGCATCCATACAACTCAGTTCAATTATTTCCTATAGTAGCTAGTTTCACATTCTGTACACTAAATTTCTTCTAAATTCTCCATTTGACTTCATCATCTATCTCATCTTTGTAAGCCCCAGTTTAGCTCTTCCCATTAAGTGAAAACATTCTCTGTCTACTTTATCAAAAGCTTTCGTAATTTTAAAGATTCCTATCAAGTCACCTTTCATGCTGTTAGAGAGAAAAGAAATGCAGCCTTTCCATCCTCACCCAGAAAACATATCTCACATTTCGAGCATCATCTTTGCAAGTCATTTTTTTGTACCGTTTCCAGGCCTCTATGTTTTTTAATATACAATATGGTATCCAGAATTGAAACATTTAATGAATTGAACTGGGAATACAGAGGCATAATTTCAAAGGAAGATGATACACGATGAAGGGGAAGGAGAGGTGCAGGTGCAAATGAACAGGACGGAGAGTGGGTTTCAATTCAATCACCACCTTCAACATAAAGGAACCTTCCAAGATCCTTCACAGAAGCATTGTAAAAGCAATATATAACATCTCAAAAGGAGGTTAAAGAGGAGATTTACTCAAATAGTATTGGGAAAGAAAGACTAATTGCATGGAGTGACTGGAAAAACTGAAGATGTGCACTTTACAGCAGAGAAGTTGGAGGGAGCTTTGACATGGTGATTTTGAAAATCACCAACAATTTTGATCAAGCACAACTGTTTCCAGAGGCAGAATAGCTGGTAAACCAGGAAAGAGACAACAGCTAGCATTTAACAAATCACATTTATATCATTCCTGTGAGGTGCCTTGTTAAAACAAACATTGAGCTTCATAAAAGATTTTAGGGCAGTTGACCAAAAGTATGGCCAAAGAAGTCATTTTAAAGAAAGTCTTCCAGGGGAAAGTGAGGTAGAGACTTGAGAAGTTTAGGGAAGGGCTTCTTAATTGCGAGTCATTCAACTTAGGTCAATCTGCATATGATGGCTGACTGAAAAATGGTGCAAATTAGAAAACAGTCAGAACTTTAGATGGGGTCAGCTTTAGGGAGGGTAGAATGCTGGTTGCTGGCCCATAATACATATGTATAGTCAAGTCTACAGGTAAAAAAGGCAGGGAGGAGTGATTCAGCAGCAGATGAGTGAGGCAGGGGCGGAGACCTTAAATGATGGCATAGACATGTAACTGGAAGCTTATCAGAGAATCAAATATGACACCAAAGATTGTTTCATCTCAATTTTCAGGGGGAGGGAGGAGTTGATATCTAAAAAGCAGAGACTGTGGTGGAGACCAAAGACAATTAGGAAGTTTGAGGATATTATTAGTTGGAAGAAATATCCGTTCTAGAACTAAATTGTTTGACAATTTAGAGACACTTAAAAAGGCAAGAGTAGATGGCAAGATAGAGCTGGTGGTGATATATTTGTGGATACTGATCTTGTACTTTTGGATGATGTGATTGAGGGAAAGGAAATGAGAAAAAGTGCCCAGAGATAGATTTCACAAGAGCAGGAAGAGAATCCATTTAAGGTGATTCATTGGCTACGAGTGAATAGATAATGGAAGCATCTGTCTGGACTAGTCAAGCAACAGCCAAATACTGTTAAATATGATTCTATGACTATTTTGTATGTCCTAGACAATACCATCACAATTCATATGCCACTAGCAGGAAAGATGCAGCAGAGATGATGGCGTTGTGTGTATAGTTGGGAGGGAGTTGCCTTGGAAGTCCTCAAAATTGACTCCAAAACCCATGGAGTCTTATAGCATCAGGTCAAACACTGGTACGGAAATTTCCTCCTTATTATCACATAGAAACTGCTCCCTCACCAACCAAATGAAACCAAACACCACTCAGAGAAAGCAATGATGGTGGCAAGGGCATCTAGTGTACTCAGTGGGGAACAGCAGCATTGCTATTAACCAAGCTGGTTGGGTTCTAAAAAGGTCATAGTTGCTATTCTGGGTCTACAGCAGGTGGTTTAAGGAAATGCGAAGGAAATATATAGTTGACCACCTCAGCCTTAGTAAACTTCCTGCTACATGTGGACCTGTCCATGAAAATTTAGACATCATATACTTGGTCCCCTCATCCAAGTAACTGACAGATTTTAAATAGTTGAAGCCACAACACAGTGAACAACTTACCAAGATTTAGCCGTTTTTCCAACCAGGCTAAAATATCTTTGGTATATTTTGACCAAGTTTTGGCATACATCAGAGCTGACTCTATCCCACTGTCATTTTTAAGTAACATGTTGTCAACCTCTTCTGCTCGAAGAGCTCCTGAAAATAGGAAATGAAACATAACAGAATGAGAGATGAACCAAATTTTCAAGACATTGATGAGAACACGAGGTAACTTTTCCTGATCTCCCCTATTTCTACTGGTCTTGGAGTCTAGATCAGTGCTGAATAGTGATAAAATTAGAACTTGAATTTTTTTTTCAGGATTTAAATTTGCAAATATTTCTACACCAAAAAGGTGATCAGAGTTTGGAACTTACTTCCGCAAACAGCAATTGATGCTCAATAAATTGCTAAGTTTAAATCAGAGAGCAGTTTTCCAATCAGGGGTACTAAGGATATAGGTCAAAGGTGGGAATTCTGAGTTACATTACAGATCAGTCCTGATCTTGCTTAGCAGCAGAATAGGTTTGAGGGGGCGAAACAGTCAACTTCCGTTCCTACACATCAGCAACAAGCTATGAAATATGGACTAAATAAATAGTCACTACAACCATGAAATATACCTTAATGCAAGTTGAAAATAATGTTGTGTCACCACAAAGACAGGGAAATAAAACATTGGCAAAATAAATCACTGGTGGTGTAAATGTTTTATGATTGGCTGGTCTGCAAGTCCTTGCAACAATAGAGAGTAAAATCCCTAGATGGTTGTCATTTCCTTACATAAAGTCTGCACACAACACAGACTAATTATACATGTATAAAAATAAAGCTACACTTCTTTAAAGCATCTAATGTATCAATTGGAAAACTGATTCCAAACGTTATATACTCCATTGCTCTAACAAAGGTGCATCATTTGTAATAGTTTCATGGTAATCGGAGCTAATCAGCCTAGTATTTCAAGTTATCACAGGAATGCTTACGGTGTGGAAACAGGCCCTTGGGCCCAAAAGTCCACACTGACCCTCAGAGCATCCCACCCAGACCCATCCCCTATAACCCACCCAATCAACACATCCCTGAAGACTATGGACAATTTAGCATGGCGAATCCGCCTAACCTGCACATCTTTAGACTGTGGGAGTAAACTGGAGCACCTGGAGAAAACCCACCAGACACGGGGAGAATGTGCAAACTCCACATAGATATCCACTTCCTACAGACTAAGGGGGTGGCCATGGGAACCCGCAAGGGCCCAAGCTATGCCTGCCCCTTCGTAGGATACGTGGAACAGTCCCTCTTCCGCAGCTACACTGGCACTATCCCCCACCTCTTCCTCTGCTACGTCGATGACTATCGGTGCCGCCTCATGCTCCCACGAGGAGTTTGAACAGTTCATCAACTTTACTAACACCTTTCACCCCAACCTCAAGTTCACCTGGACCATCTCTGATACCTCTCTCTCGTTCCTGGACCTCTCTGTCTCCATCTCTGGTGACCACCTTGAAACTGAAATCTATTTCAAGACCACCGACTCCCACAGCTACCTAGACTACACCTCCTCTCACCTACCTTCCTGCAAGAACGCGATCCCCTACTCCCAATTCCTCTGCCTCTGCCGCATCTGTTCCCAAGATGGGGCATTCCACTCCCGAACATCCCAGCTGTCCTCTTATTTCAAGGACCACAACTTCCCCCCTTCAGTGGTCGAAAATGCTCTCAGCCGCCTCTCTTGCGTTTCCCGCACCTCAGCCCTCACACCCGCTTCCCGCGACAAAAACAGACAGAATCCCTCTTGTCCTCACGTATCACCCCACTAACCTCCGAATTCAACATATCATTCTCCGCCACCTGCAGTCTGACCCCAAGGATATATTTCCCTCCTCACCCCTATCTACCTTCCATACGGACCGCTCTCTGCAAATCCCTCGTCTGCTCCACACTTCCCACTGACCCCACCACCCCTGGCACCTTTCCCTGTAACTGCAGGAAGTGCTACACCTGCCTCTACACCTCCCCCCTCACCTCCATCCAAGGACCCAAAACAACCTTCCACATCAGAGAGATGATCACCTGCACATCTACTAATGTGGTCTACTGCATCCGTTGCCCTCGATGTGGCCTCTTCTACATCGGTGAGACCAAGCGGAGGCTCGGAGACCGCTTTGTAGAGCACCTGCGTTCTGTTCACAACAAATGACAACACCTTCCAGTCGCGAACCATTTTGACTCCCCTTCCACTCCCTGGAAGACATGTCCATCCTGGGCCTCCTCCAGTGTCACAACGATGTCACCCAGAAACTGGAGGAACAGCACCTCATATTCTGCCTTGGGAGCTACAACCCAATGGTGTCAATGTGGACTTTACTAGTTTCAAAATCTCCCCACCCCCGGCCTCATCCAATGACCAACCCTCCCTCTCATCCCCGCCTCCTTGACCTGCCCGTCTTCTCTCCCACCTTTCCATTCCTCCCACCTCACTGACCGATCCCCACCACTACCTACTTGCACTCACCTATCATCATCCCACCTACCTTCCCCAGCCCTACCCCTCTGTCTATTTATTTCAGAGCTCCCAACCCCCTCCCCCATTTCTGAAGGTTCCCAACCTGAAACGTCAGCTTTCCTGCTCCTCTGATGCTGCCTGGCCTGCTGTGTTCCTCCAGCTCCACACTGTGTTATCTCTGACTCCAGCACTGACAGTTATTACTATCTCCACACAGACAGACAGTCTCCTGAGGGTGGAATTGAACCCGGGTCCCTGGTGCTGTGAGGCAGCAGTGCTATCGACTTTAATCAAATCTATCTTGCAAACTCAAATCAATTGGGTTATGGGTAAATCGTCAATTAGGATATTATAGAATTGAATACTGGCTGGCACCGGATGGCAGTAGGAGGAAAACATTCTAATATATATCAGCATGTCAGGTGACTAAACACCACTGAATGAATAATGTAGATTGGTCATTGAGATTTTTATGAAAGGACTGGAATTTATATACCTTTCACAATTTCAGAATTTCCCTTACAGCCAGTGATGTACTTTTAATGTAGGAAATATGTCCAATTTGTATACAAAGTTACACAAATAAATGACCAATCATTCTGTTCCAATGGAGGGGTTTAGGTATAATTGAAAGGCTATGATACGGAGACATCCCCTCCAACTCCCCGCAAGAATGGATGATTCCTCGGTGCTTTTTTAAAAGATCCCTCAGTATCTCAAACTTGTCACTCAGGTGACTGTGGCCATACAGGCAATGCTGAATTCTACATTTCAAACATTACCCGGGTTGATTTCATTTTATTTCCTTTATTCATTCATGGGATGTGGGTGTCACTGGCTAGTCAGCATTTATTACACATCCCTAATTGTCCTGAGGGCAGTTAAGAGTCAACCACATTGCTGTGGGTCTGGAGTCACATGTAGACCAGACGAGGTAAAGATGGCAGTTTCCTTCCCTAAAGGACATTAGTGAACCAGATGGGATTTTCCTGACAATTGGTTCATGGTCATCATTAGATTCTTAATTCCTGTTATTTTACTGAATTCAAATTCCACCATCTGCCGTGGCAGGATTCGATCCCGGGTTCCCAGAACGTTATCTAGGTCTCTAGATTAGCTGTCCAGCGATAATACCACTAGATCATCACCTCCCCAGAGGTAACGTACTGCTGGTTACAAATAATTTGTAACGTGCCGTGCATAATTTCTATTTCAGTATCTTGCACATTGACATGGAACTACCCACTTAGAGTCATAGAGCATGGAAATAGACCCTTTGGTCCATCTAGTCCACATTGACCATGTTCCCAAAAAAACTAGTCCCACTTGCCTGCATTTGGTCCATATCCCTCCAAACCTTTTCTACTCATGTACTTATTTAAATGTCTTTTAAATACAGTAACTGTACTTGCATCCACCACTTCCTCTGGCACTTCATTCCACACACGAACCACTGTGTAAAAACGATGCCCCTCATGTCCTTTTCAAATCTTTCTCCTCTCACCTTAAAAATGTGTTCCCCAGTCTTGAAATTCTCCACCCCAGTGAAAAGACCTTGGCTAATCACCTTATCTTTGCCCCTCATAATTTTATAAACCTCTTAAGATCACCCCTCAACCTCCGATGCTCCAGTGAAAAAAATCCCAGCCTATTCAGCCTCTCCCTATAACTCAAACTCTCCATTCCAGGCAACATCCTTTTTAAATCTTTTCTGAACCCTGTCCAATTTAATAATATCCTTCCTATAGGAGGCCGACAAGCACTGCATACAGTACTCCAGAAGAGGCTTCATCAATGTCCTGTACAACCTCAACATGACATCCCAACTCCTATACTCAAAGGCTTGAGCAATGAAGGCAAGTGTGCTAAATGCCTTCTTAACCACCCTGTTTACTGCAACGCAAATTTCAAAGAATTATCTACCTCAACCCCTAGTTGTCTCTGTTTTACAATACTACCATTAATTGTATAAATACTGCCATTGTGTGTTTTACCAAAATGCAATACCTTGCCTTTATCCAAACTAAACTCCATCTGCCACTCCTCAGCCCATTGACCCAATTGATCACGATCTCTTTGTAATCTTAGATAACCTTCTTCACTGTCCAGTGTACTGCCAATTTTGGTGTCATCTGCCAAAATACTAACCATGCCCCCTATATTATCATCCAAATTATTTATACAAATGATAAACAAAAGTGGACCCAGTACCGATCCTCGTGGAACATCACTGGTCACAGGCCTCCAGTCTGAAAAACAATCCTCTACCAGCAAACTCTGTTTCCTACTGTCAAACCAATTTTATATCCAATTGGCAAGCTCACCCTAACTAGCCTACCATGTGGAACCATGTCAAAGGCTTTACTAAAGTCTGTGTAAACAACATCTCTCACTCTGCCCTCATCATCCTTTTGGTTGCTTCCTCAAAAAAAACTCAATCAAGTTTATGAGACATGAATTCCCTCAGACTAAACCATGCTGACTGTCCCTAATCAGTTTTTGCCTCTCCAAATATATGTAAATCCTATCTTTCAGAATCATCTCCAACAACTTACCCATCACTCATGTCACGCTCACAGCTCTATAGTTCCCAGGCTTCTCCTTACAGCCTTTACTCGATATATCAACTGAAGATTATTTCCAAACGATTATGCAAATAGTTTGGAATGGTGTACCAAAAGGCACACATCACAGGGGAAATAATTTAGCATGTTGGTGAAACAATTTCGCAGCCTCAAACCAACTGGTAAATATTCAATTGTTTTGATATTTCAAGTTGAGATCACTGATTAGCCCACAATTCCCCACTGCCAATTTGAGGAAAACTCAAAAGCAGTACTAAATGCATGTAAAGTTAATATTATGAATGACTTCCCTGACATTTGTTCTTGAATTACCATGGTACATTGATGCAATTCATTTTCAACAGACAATAATATATAGCATGTCTTTAAACTGTCGATCAGAAATATAGACTCTGAGCAAATTGGTTTGGGTTGACAGTAAACAAATTAATCCTTTGACTAGATAACAAACAGTCCACATGTAAAATGGTTAAAAAAAAATGTTATTGAGACTAAATATTGCTCAGCTTTTAATTGTTAATAAAGCACCCAGCAAGAAGAGCATATTTAATGTACTTCTAACTAAACCACGACAGGAGAAGGCAAAATGACCTATCCAAATCTTGCTCCAACTAATATGGTTCACATATTCTGGATTAGCTTATTTAAGAGTTGCAGTATCGTAAAATTTGTAAGATTCATAAAATTTATTAGTACCTTGTAAGTCATCCTTTTCATGAATTGATCCTTGAGAGCCCATAGACAGGTTTTCATAAGACTGAAAGTTAAAAAGAAAACTCATGAATTTTACAATGGGAACAAATATTAATTCAGAAGGAGCACTTCATCTTTCAACTCCAATCATATTTGAATTCCAAATCAGAACGCTGTCAGCTGGGAAATTTCAAATAAAGTTTGTTTACAATTAAAAGCTACAGCTCATTAAACAAGTTTTTTTTAAAAAAAAACTTGTAAAAGCTATGTGACTGAAATAGTGTGAAAGGTAAAATCAAATCTAATTGTTAGGGTGATACACAGAATGGACATGGCTCATCCTAATAAATGCTCAGGCTGGAATTGTATGCTCAGTACTCATGACACACACAGGCATCTTCTGAGTTTAATCTAGCTGAAAACAATTACAGAAACTGGCATATATATGCCATAATAGTGCAATAAACACAGTCAACGTTTCTAATCATGCTCCAGTCTTAATTGCCTGAAGAAGCCAAAATTGTTCTCCTTTCAGCATATCACCTTATTGCTTGAATACAAGGAAAAACTAATTCCAGTGGCAGGTTACCATGGACACAGGTACACAAGCTAATTGGTTAGGGAACTAGGAGGTGAGAGGATGTGTTTTTAACAATGCATTGCCTAAGTATAGAGAGGGGTGTAAACAGATGGGATAGTAACGCTCAAAAGAAAATTGGATATATAATTGAAGGAGAAAAACATAGCAGGACAAAAACAAAGAAGTCAGACTAATTTGGTAAAAACCAAAAGAACTGCG